CACACACACACACACACACACACACACACTCACTCACTCACTCACTCACTCACACCTCTCCTTCTGTTAAAACGGACTGTCATTGTCATTCCAAATATGATGTCTGCTGGATCAGAAAATGTATTGTGATTTCCTCTGACCTTTGGAATGATATTTGTACTCATGGAATCAGTAATGCATACTATGGGATCATGAATTATCTCTGATATTGTGGCACTTCTCTCTGACTCTTTAGCAAGTGCTGCATTGTTGGTATTTTTAGTGCAATAATGCGTTGCTAAGTCTTATATGAATAGCTTGCATCTTTGTGCAATTACATATATTAGTATTAAGTTTTATATCATTTGGCCTAACTACTGCATTTTGAGCTTTGGTAGACGATCATGAAACTTTTGTGTTGGGTTCTGTGACATTTTGTTCTCCGATTATCTTGTGCCTTTAACATGCTAAGTGGATTTTCAGTAAGTCTGCTTCAACAGGCTGTGCCTTTAGGTGTTATATGGGGTTTCCTGTTATTTTGAAATATGCTAGCAGTGACTTTACATCTAATTCATCTCTGAGCATCCTTGTGCATGTCATATCAGGATGGCTAAATGTTTCCTTGGTTTCACTGATCATTTCTGAAAGTTGTTGAATACAAGCACTTCAGTAGTGTGCATTCATATAATATCCTCTGACAGTTACTACACGAGAACTGAAAACCTCGGAAGGCACTGATTAGTATCTTTTTTTTTTTGTTGGCTGTTTCCTTTATAGTTTTGTCTATTAGGTAACTAGAAAACTTTAGCCGCTTGAAAATCAAAGACGTCTACAATCTGATTTGAATTACATTATTGTCTATTTTTATGTTCTTGACAATGCTTAAACTAATTCTGCTATCTGTAAGTCTTCAATGTTTTTGTTATTTCATATCAATATGAAATGATGTCAGTGAGTCTTTATCATACTAAAAAAGGGACACTCTTCTTGCAGTTACAGATTATGCTTTAACATACATTTTAAACTATTATTTTCTACTTTATAATAGTAACCGTAGATCTGCGGTGTAAATCAGATTCAATAATTATACTCCATAAGTTAACTAGTCCTTGCACATACAAATGCATAATGCTGTGCAGTCAAGTGCACAGTGATATCATTTGCAATTACGATTGAAATTTGTCTTGCAGCTACAGTTTTATTTCTTGTCAACTTGTAAAGAATGGAAGAGTGGTCCAGAAGAAATGCCAGACTTCATACTATTTAGTCTAGTTCCAGCCAGTAGGATATGGGATGTCTGGCTGATACATTGTTACTTGTCCTAGAATGTGCCCTGCCTGGTAAGCAGTACACTTTACATTATCACATGAGGGAAGATTAGGTTGGTGTATAGAATCATAATATCTCTGCTTGCTGGTGAACAGGTCTAGCTTTGCATTATTGATATTCATAGCTGGACCTTTCATACATTATGACCACAAACTTTTCCAAGACATGCAAGTCTTCACCATGAATTGATAGG